ATCAAAAGCATTAAAAAAAAAAATGTTTAATTATGGATACAGTGTGAGATTCACTGCTTTCTAATTCTGCATTTTCAATTTTGCATTTTAATCTTCTGTATAGCCTTCCCCTCACCAAAACAAAACCCCAGGATAAATTGCATAATTCAGAATTATTTATTAATTGTATAAAATTTCACTCTCCGACCTGTGAAATGCAAAGTCCTTGCCCCAGAATGTTCTCTCTTTTCTGACAGCAGTATACACTGCAACTTTGGTGCTAAAAGAAAAGGAAATATCTTTCACCACCTCTGCTGCTTTCTGCAGTTTGAGAGTATGTCAAATCATTCTGGAAAACATATAGCTGCTATCTCATAAACTGGCCACTATTCCAAGTGCCACAAAGGGGCACAGTAGAATACTCCATCAGCATTTGAATTTATTTTTCCTCTGAACTGAACAAGCACCCCAGTATTGTAACCAACATGTGTGAATAACTCAAGTTCTGTGATGCTCAGCTTTACTGTGATCTGTCCCAGAAGGGACACACTTAGCTATAAACCACCCAAGAGAATTGCTTTGTTACCACTAGTCTTTACAGAGCCAGGTATTTCCCTGGTAGTATTCTCTTCCGACCATGTTTCTCAATTTACTTTATCTACTCCTGAATTAACAAACTGAACTCACAGTCAATTTAAGCTGGTCTGTCACCTGTCTCCCTAGGTCTCACATTCCTATCTCCATTGCAGCAGACCCTGTCACAGTAGATCTTCCAAGAACACTTTGACCCCTTTCCAGAAAAATTTTCCTTAGGCTGGGCTTGAGGACCACGCTTGTAGCATCTCTGAAGGCAGGAAATGTTAAATCTGGGGTCCCAAAAAAATGGACTAGGCTTTTTGTGCTTACTCTGTGGGTACCCCTATCCAACAGAAGAATACGGCAGATAAGGGAGATAGTATTTAATGATTACACATATGCAAATGACTGCTCACAGCAAAGGGCAGGGAAGAACCTTGCTCAGGATGGCTGCAGCCTGGCAAGTGGCCAAATGCAATGCACAGATGATATCTGGTCCCGTATCTGTATCTGTGAGTTGGTAAAGCCTCCTCCTCCCCAGGGCCGTACTGCTAATAGCCAGGTTACTCCATCACCCTTTGGGAGTGGGCATCCCTGAGCGGTTCAAGCCTACCAACACTGCACATACACACTGAAATCGTGTTCTTGCACCTTGACAAAGTGCGAGTTCACTCTGAGGTCAGTAGCTGGTATAATTTTAAAAAGCTGCAGTATTATGTTGGTCAGATAGCTGTTATTGCTCTTTTCTCATTTGGCTTGAGGACAATTTATTTGCAAATGATTATGGAGTCTGAAGGCAGTAAGATCATCTACTTATCTACCATGAAAACTTTACCGTTGTTATGAACTATAGAATATATACTCAGTTGTACTCCCACAATAGTGATTTACTGCACTTCCATCAGTGTTTTGGGGGCAGCTGACCAAAAGCACTATGTCTACACTGCAGGATTCCCATCAGATGTGTAACCAGGTTAGAGTCACCCTGGCATTTGGTATAAGTCAATGTAATTTATTTTCATACTAGTTAGTGGTTTTGGAGAATTCTTGCATATATTTTATTCACAGCCTCACACGCCCTCCCCATATTTGCTAACTTTTACAGATCAGTTTGACACCCCTCAGTGATTTTACTGTTTGAATGATGTTTAAATAACTTGGATACATATACATGCATATATACCTAAATACATATATATATAGATACAAATATCATCTATTTTATGTGGTACTTATTTATATGTTATTAAAGCATAAAAAAGGAGATATTTGGGGAATATTATTTTTGTGAAAGTGCAGACAGAAATCAAGCAAGTCCACAGTGGTTGTTTAGATTGAAATCACTAAAGGTATAGCTCACTACAAACGGAGTTATCACTTGTAAATGAGGATGAAGACTTGCTGAATAAACACGCAGTTTAATTTTTGCGAATTCAGGTTAGGCAGAAGCAGTTTATTTCTACAGCTATAGGAGGGAACGTGTAGCGACAGAGGTTCATCTCTCTACTGATGTGAATTCGGACTTAAAGCAAAAGTACTAGGGCTTCTAGAAATTCACAGTGGGTTCAAGCTGCCCTGAGAGGGTGGGCCTGTTACGGCAGAGCAGCAACTGCATGGAAGGAAACGTTGCCACGGCAGATGTGCCCGTGTGTTCCTGAGAGCTCCGCGCATGCAGCCAGGCGGCCCCCGCATCCATCTGTCCGGCTCACCCTGTCCTCGCCTGTGACGCTGCTGTGCCCTTCACCAGCTTCTAGGCCTAGCAAGGCCTGCTTCCACAAAACAATGTTAGTAAAAGGGATTATTTCGGCCTGTTTCCAGAAAATGCTGAACTCCCTCTACTGACAGACAAAAATGACGTAACTACTTCTCTTTAGGAGACATCGGCTCAACTGATCTATTTAAATCACTTGCAGCTTCTGCTCTTACAGAAGGAAGAAAACAATCTACCATCACCTCATCACTTACATCTTCTCAAGATCGATCCGTGTTTCAGCACTCTTTCAGCTGGCTTATTTAACCTATTTCTACATTCTGCTTAAACCATGCATTTAAGAAGGAACCAAACTGAAGTACAAGAGCTCTGACATGAAGAATTGTGTGTTGTTCCTACTCCTCTCTCGGAATCCACTTAAGGCCACTGTTTTGATTCTTCTGGGTTTGGGGTTTTTCTCTGTTTAAGGATGAGACCAGCATTTCATAGAATCACAGAAAACTTTAGGTTTGAAGGGATCACTGAAAGGCATCTAGTCCAAGCCTCTGCTCAAAGCACGGCCAACTGGAGAGAAACCAAGTTGCTCGGGGTCTTCTCCAGTTGGGTTCTGAACACCCCAGGGATGGAGGTTGCATGGCCTCCCTGGGCAAACCATGACCAGTGTCTGACCACCTCCATGATTAAAAAAAATAATTTAAAATGTCCTTCTATTGATTTATAACACTGCTTGAAAAGAGAGTGTCACTTTCATTAGTAAAGCTGTTTTTTAGTTCCTTGTAAGACTTGCATATATCCATGTAACATAATTCAGCGTTACCTGTTTGCCTGTACCCAGCCTATCACTGGTCTAAACCAATGTTTAGGGCCCTCTCCACCTGCCCAAACCAGGTATGCCACCCTCATCTGTCTGTACACTACTTCATGTACAATTGTCATCCTCATTATTGTTTGAAAAGAGGAACTCTCCCCCATTTGTGGACGGCTTGTTTCTTATCTAGGTTGTTCTCCGTTTCTTGTCAGTAGGGAAAGGAGTGAAAAGCGGGCAAGTGGTAAGTTGGGAACATAGAATTCCAAGAAAAATGTTGTGCTAGAAACTACAATGTGTAATAAATTTCCAGATACTCCAGAGCTAAGTGAGGCTAAGAGGCAAACCCATCTTCCAGGACTGTGCTGCAGAAGGCTGCCAGTACCTAAACACAATGGTTACTATGAATTTCCTATGGTCTGTGGTCCTCAGTGTGTTAAATCAACAATTGTGAATCGTTGACTCACGACCAGCACAGACGTGAGGGCGTGTGAGAAAGCAAGTTCATTAGCTCCAACGGGTCTGACACTCAGCAAGCTCTGGCAGAGCTAGCTGACATAAAGAACCATGCACCACGGAATGCACCTTTGCTAGATTTAACATGGTTAGAAATTTTCTATGTGAAAGTCAAGCTGCTGAAGATTTCTAGAATTTATTATGAAAGTGGCAAATAAATAATATACTGACAGATTATATTGTGAAAGTCTAACAGCTGTTTCACAGAGAAGTTGAAGTTTCACCGAGAACATGAGTGTTCATGTTCTGAGGCAAGTGCTGGAAATTTAGTGAGACCATTTTTCATTTTTTTCACACCTCCGGTGCACAAACGCAGCTCCTCCCTCCCACAGCTGAGGAACCAGCACTCGGGGAGGCAGCCAGCTCCCCCTTCCCCAGATTTGGAGATGAGCCTCACCTGAGACGGCCACCTCTGCACACGTGGCATCTCTCCAACTAGAGCAGTCATTTCGTCACAATTAAAGGAACAGTCAAAACGAATTTTAAAACACGACGTAAAAAGGGGAGACTTTTAAACTTCGAAATGATAGCGTTTTGTCCGTATTTTCCCATTTTTGAATATTGCTATTGATCTAAGGAAACATTAACCAGGTGGTCCCCCCCACCCTCAGGAAACATTGCACCTGGGGGTTGGGACATGCCCTGTGTTTGTTGGGACGTGCCCTGTGTTTGCTGGGACATGCCCTGTGTTTGCTGGGACGTGCCCTGTGTTTGCTGGGACGTGCCCTGTGTTTGCTGGGATATGCCCTGTGTTCTAAGACGTGCCGTTTATCTGATAACACAGGAGTTGCTAGGGGAGGGTCGGCGCCGGGGGCTTGGGGATATAAGGATTTCTCGGAACTAAATGTAATATTGCCTCCCTATTCCCGGAACTGTGATACATATGGAACATTTACGTAATAAAAAGGAGCCGCTTTTGGCTCCAAGGCGCACGTGCATTTGGTGGAAATGATTCCCCCGTGCACCCAGCGCTGAATAAACATACCTACTGTATAGCCTTACTGGTTGTAAAGTCGTGATTCCGCTCCTCACTGTCAATCACCTAACCAGAAGCCCCAGTTACAGCGAGATATTTTGTCATTTTTGCCAACGCGAGGGACGGGGCCTGCTTTCAGGTGCCAGTTTAACCACCACCTGCTTCCCGGCTGCTGCCGCCGGCCGGGCCCGGGATGTGGGAAGGAGACAGCGCCCTCCTTCTTCCTGACAGGCGACCAAGCCGGGGGAAGACACGGATCACCAGCCAATATTTATAAAACACCTTTTATTAACTAAACTGCTAAGATCAGCGGGCACGGCTTCCCCTCCCGCCTCCGCCGCGCGCCCAACTCCCTCAGCTCGCCCCGCCCACCCGCCTCGCGTGACGTAGCAGTCGCGTGCCGGCGGCCCCGCCCGCGTCAGGCGGCCGCGGGCGGGGCTCGGTGGACGGCGGCCGCGGGGGTCGGGCCCTGCCGGGCTGGCGGAGGCTCCGTGCGGCAGCGGCCGGAGGCTCCGTGCGGCAGCGGCCGGAGGCTCCGTGCGGCAGCGGCCGGAGGCTCCGTGCGGCAGCGGCCGGAGGCTCCGTGCGGCAGCGGCCGGAGGCTCCGTGCGGCAGCGGCCGGAGGCTCCGTGCGGCAGCGGCCGGAGGCTCCGTGCGGCAGCGGCCGGAGGCTCCGTGCGGCAGCGGCCGGAGGCTCCGTGCGGCAGCGGCCGGAGGCTCCGTGCGGCAGCGGCCGGAGGCTCCGTGCGGCAGCGGCCGGCTGCGGTGAGGGGGGAGCGGCGGGGCGCCGGGGCGCGGGGCTGGGCAGGGCAGGGCAGGGCGCCGCCGTCGGGGGTGGCGGGGACGGCGGCGCCCCCCCCCCCCGTGGGCTCCGGGGCGCCTGAGGCCGGGCGGCAGGCGCGGGGCCCCCCCCCGCCGTGGCCGTGGCCGGGCTGACCCTGGAGCAGCAGGGCCGGGGGGGAAGGTGCCGCCTCAGCGACGCGAGCTCTGGTGCCGGGGAGAGGCGGGGGAGCTGCGGGAAGGGGTATGATCAGGCCCGGTGAGAGTAGGCGTGATAATAAGTATTTTTTTTTGAGTGTCTCCCTGCGAAACTGAGAGGTTATTTGTCAAAATACTTGGGGAAAACTGCTCGCTGTGTTTTGTTTTGTTTTGTTTTAAAAAAAAAAAACCATCCATGTCGGGCAGTTTGGGCTTGAGTTGTTTGAATATGGAAAAATCTGTTGGCAGAGAGCGGAAGCTGGCAGGCACACAGCTGATGAAAAAGTATTAAATAGCAATCTTGCGTAATGCCGAATTTTCCATGATGTTGGAATCTTTGGGCAGAGAACGGTAGATAGCAACCATGCCTCTAATTCAGTGTTGTGAAAAATGGAAGTGCTGGACAGCACAGCTGCGTGATGAAGGGAATTACCTGCCCTACTGTTTTTTCACTTTCAGTTTTAGAGGAGTGCCAAGTAGGCACTCAAAACCTAAACGCTCTGTGCCGAGAGAATGTAATGGAAATACAGACCAAGGGGTTGGGAAGGAAGTCCATTTGTTTGGACAAAAAAAGGCTTGAGACAGCAGTAGTAGCAAGAGGAGGAAAATTAGACATGCTGGATGGGTGAATGTCCGTGCTGGGATACTGGCCTGAGAAGATGGTGTGGGCTGACATGTCAGAAGATGGGAGTTTACTGAGAGTCTTCAGTAATTTTGAGAGTAAGAATTACCATGTTAGATCAGATCACTGACTTCCTCTGTTGTTTAGTCTGTGATATTATCTAGCCTTAGGTGCGTAAAAACGAGCGGTAGGCCACCACTTCAGGAAGAATTTAAGGGCTACTTTAATCAAACTAATTAAATAAACTAATAGCAAAAAAACTGTAGATTTATTCAGCTAGAACCTGGCTTGTATTAGTTTAAAAACTTTATACCATTTGTTTTAATTCAGTTTGTTCCCTAAATTCTTTGAAGTTACTAACTTAATTGCTCTTCCCTACAGAAATAAGGCTTAAACAATTCTGTCTGCATGGTAGTTCTCCTTCATCCTCTTCATCTTTGAAATCAGTGGCTGATAGAAAACCAGTTATCGTACAGGAAAACCTCTTGGATTAAGGGGTTTGTCTTGGTTTTGCTTTTTCTTCCCCTACACCCCCCCCCCCCGTTTCAAAAATAGTTAGAAAGAGTGTCCTACCTTTGTCAGTCAGGATATTTAATCCTCTTAATAAGCTTTAGACTTCATGTTTTCCTTCTGGCAGTAAGATCCACCATTGAGCTGCTTCTTTGTAAAAATATACATTATTTTTTAATGAAGTAGGGTTTGCTGCTTCAGAGGAAGGATGGTCAGCCAGATAGTTGAGATGTTAGTTTACAATATCAAATTGAACTCAAGTTTCCCTGTTGCACTGTAGCCTCCCTTGATCTAGTCACTTAAAACCACAGAGTGTATCTGTACTGATAAATGAAAATGGGCCAAGGAATGAGCTGGAGCACTGAATTGATCTGTGTTTATCTACAGTGCCCATTAGCTCTTTGCTTATCTCTGTTTTGGACCAACTTTCTCCAATACAAGTTTCTCTAAATCTTATTTAGCACTAAGTAGTGCAGGTCTGGGCCAGTCTGTACGAGCCGCAGGATCAAAGGTTGGTTTGCAGCACTCTTGTATTTAGTAATATGCACTTTGTCATTCATTTCAGCTTTAAAACAGAGGAAATAAGACTTCGTTGTGCAAAAATGAGTTACAGGTAAATATTCAAAAATGCAGGGCACTTAAATACTATTTTAAGATCATACACTGAAAGTAATAATGACCGAGAATCTTCCTTGTGTGTGATCATATTTCTACTTAAATGTTCTGCTTTAGAGAATACTACTACTTGTGTTGTAAGGGAGCAATCCAGCTGGCTTATTTACCTTATACTATCTGTTACTTTGTATTAAGTTTGATAAATTAATAAGAAATAATTAAATTCAGCTCTTCGGCTGACTTTTAGTTATCTTGTGTTAAACTTAAAAACTACTATGAATTCCTTCCTCCGTTTCCAAGTGCTTTGCCACACAAATGCATAGTTTGATGGTAAACTTTACGTATACTGCAAACTTGGGATATTTCAAACAATCAGAGATGAGCTGCAACACTCCCACTCTTCTGAACTGCTGAGCTAGCTTTTGTCTCTCTGCCATGCTCTAGTGCTGAATATACACTGATCGTGCTGACATCTCTGTTTTCTTAGACCTCTTCTAGTGTTAATAAAGACTGAGCTTTAGCAAGAACAGTGGTGTTGGCAGTATGATGAGCACAGAGTGAATAGTAAATTCACTATTAAGTTGAAATGTAGCTATGACTTTAGGATTTGACCTGATGTCTCTTTTCAGGGGTTGGAACTAGATGATCTTTAAGGTCCCTTCCAACCCAAACTGTTCTGTGATTATATACTAACAATTGCTAGCAAAAGAATTATTTCAAATCTGTAAAGTGTCTTTGCCTTAGCCTCCCCCAGCAAAAATAAATCAATAAACATGGGACAAAGTAGACTGTGGTGTACTGCAACTGTGTTCACACAAATGAATTGTTCACTTAAAGCCTTAAGAAGGGACTTTTTACAGAATCGGATACACAGGCACTAAAGATGTTAAAACACTAAATTTTGCTCATGAAGAGGTAAACTGTGGTCTTAGGTTAAACTCATCTGTATTTCTCAGTCTTCTAAACATTTTCTGTGGTTTGGAAACCTACAATAATTTTTAAATCAGTGTTCCTTACCACTAAGTTGTTTTTCACCTTTATACCCTCTTAAAAGGAAAAATGGATTTTTCATTAGTAAATAAAAGTGTTGACATAAGATGGTGTGGTCTGGGAGTCCCTAGGTTTTTTTGCTAACAAATAATTTGACTATGCTTATCTTAAATGGTTAATGCCTAGATCATAAAGTACATGACATGGTTAAGCGTACTCTTTTGTGTCAGGATCCAGCCATATTCACAAACTTTACTTAGAGTCCTTTCCAGTTCCTTTCATTGTAACTGCTTGCTGTTGTGCTGGACAATATGCTTTTAACTTCTAAACTTGATGTCCTTGGTGGTGATTAAATACACATTTATTTTTATGCTAGTGTTGTTCTTCAGCTTAAATCAGAGATGCCCAGCCTGTTGGCACCAAGTGACTGCAGTCAACCAGAAAAATCTCCTCCGTGGTGGGGAGCAGGCAGCGGGCCTGGTGGCTGGAGTCGCTGCCGATCCATTCCACGTGGGCTGCCTTCTCAAGCCATCCCTGTCATATTCCTAGCTATGTGTCCGCCGTTGGACTGAAATCACACCTCTTGTCTTTTGCATGAAATTGGATTCTGTCGCATCATAAAAATACAGATGTGTTCCAGGTTACATGGCCCTTCTGTCAGGTGACTGCAGATGCATCAGTCACATAAGTACGGTCTGTGTTTTGATCATAAAAGATGTGGGAGTAGAGCACAGCATTCCATCTTTGCCTCTATTTTCATAAATATTTTCATGACCTGCAGTTCTTAAGTTTCTCTGGTTTTGTTGGCATAGAGGAAGGATATTTACATTCTTCTTTTCATCCAGTATATTTACTGAGACTAATCCAATTTCTTAGCCTTTGGTTTATTGGCTTGATAAGCCAAACTCGCCTCTCTCTAGGGAAGAGTAATTGATTCACCAGAAAAAATCAGTAACCTTCTGCACACCGCTTGCAGCTTTCCTGAATGCGGCTCAGCATTGTGTAAGGTCTCACCAGTGCTGTGTACAGTGGCATTAATGCTGCTGTATGTGTAATGGAAGTATTTTAATTTTTTGCTTTGGATTTTACTTACCCCCATGTTTTCTGTACCTTGCTATCATTGTGATTGACAGATGTCTTTGGATTTTTCTCCTTTCTTCCATCCATCTTATAGGAGAAAATCATTGTTTTTCTTGAAAATGCATGCTCTTTCATTTTTTATATAGCGTCCCATTTTTATTGTCCGTGGTCATTATTCTCTTCTACTATAACAACCTGACTTTTCTGAATTGACAATGCCTCTTAACACTGTCAGGAAAAAATGTCACTGGAATTTTTTACATTACATGTTGTAAACACTAGCTTAGTCCAAGAATGATTTGTATTTGCTGCATTTGGCCAAGACTAAAGACCTGCATTCTGCTGAAACAGTGATTTTTTGCATTTCAGAGTTCAAATAGACCTATTGTATTATTTCTGCTCTTCAGTTGTTGAAATACATGGGACAGTTTGAGGAATACATTCCAAAATAGACAGAACCTGAAACCTTTTGTACATATTGATATTCCAAATTTTTGTCACCTGGGGAGCAAGGAAAGGAAAACACCAGTTGTCTTTCTCACTTTATAAACACTGTAAAGGAAATAAGTAATTCCCTGTTTTCAGTTTATAAAGCACAGCTTTAACTGTTCAGAGTATTTCTTACCAGTTGTGTGTGTTGATGTTGAAGTTTATCAAGATTTGTTTAAATTTGAGTGCTTTCCCTTAAATTATTTAAATAAAAATGTACTGAGTTTGTAAGTTCATCCTTTGCTTAAATAGACAAAATGTTAACTGAATTTTTTAATACCTTAGAGGGTTTTTTTGGAAAATATTATCAAAAGTGAAGTTAGATTTTTAAATTAATTTTTTACTCCACTATTTGCCACTGATCTTAATACTTGTGAAGACGGAAAGTTTAGTATCGGTTGTGTCCATATTCCTCTGGTGTTTAACTTTTAAGAAATACATGTCTGTGATGTAACTGGATGTGATGGTTATAAATTCCTTGCTGTCTTGGAATCACGTATTCTAAATCTGAATGTTAATGGGAGATTACCATAATTTATCAGACATTGTACTAAGTAACTAGATCGCTTTCTGCTAATACATGCAGTATGGTCATCATTAGAAACCAATTAGAAGGCATTTTGTTCTAGGATAAACTTTGTTTGGCTTCATCTTATGTATATTCTTACTAATTTTTATTCTAATTTGCAGTAATGGAACAACTGCAGGATCCAGCTATGCAAGAAGATGCAAATGTTAAAGCTATTAATGAAGAGTACAGGAAAGCCTTTATTTTTATCAATAAAGGACTGAATACAGATGAACTGGGTCAGAAGGAAGAGGCAAGAAGTTATTATAAGCAAGGGCTTGACCACTTGCTCCGAGGAGTCAGCATTCCATCGCAGGGTCCTGCATGTGTAGGGTCCCAGTGGGAGTCTGCCAGGCAAATGCAACAGAAGATGAGGGAGACCCTCCAAAACGTTCACGCTCGCCTCGGCATTCTGGAACAAACCACTCCAGCTGTACAAGCGGGTCCTGCTGCGATGGATGCCCCTGCTGGGGTGCCCAGGCTGTACCCATCCATTCCGTCCAAAGAAAAGCCGGAAAGACCCCCAGCCCCTAATTCTCTGTTTGTACCACGTCAGCCACCTGCAGCAGATGGAAGTGTTGCAGCTGTGAGCCAGGGGCAAACTCCAGCTCTGAGTCCGTCATCTGCAAAACCTCTTTGTCTGCCAAATGAAGCACCTCCTGCCTACACTCCTCAAGCTACCAATGGCCATTTTACTGTGTCTTATGGCACAGACTCTGGGGAGTTTTCCTCTGTAGGTGAGGACTACTACAGTAAGCGTACTCAGCCACCTCCCCTTGAAAACCTGGGGGTGGATGCAGATGAGCTGATCTTGATTCCCCAAGGAGTACAGATTTTCTTTGTGACTCCTGATGGGCAGGTTAGCGCTCCTTCATATCCTGGATACCTACGCATTGTGAAGTTCATGGATACGGATAGCGAGACGGCGCAGACTCGTCCACCTGCATTTCTTCAGGTAACAGGGAAATAATTTGCTCCTTTAGTTAAATTTCAAGAATTGTCATAAAACTTTAAAAGGCAGTCTTACCAAGTTCTTGCTCTTCTGAGCCTCAATCTCTGTGCGATAATATGAAGGATGTTATAGCTGCTGGAAAAGTGTTTTTCTACAAACACATACTTTTATGACTTTTTCTGCAAAAATCACTTCTATGTCTTCCCAAGGTTGTCAAGTGTTGACTGTTCCAGTGAATTCTGTTTTCTAAAGGAGTTAACATGTCTTTTCATTTCATAAAATTAACTTCTCTTTCCTTACATAGAGAAGACACGTGATTCACCTGTTGTAACATGTCAGTGTAAAATGAGGTCGTGTGCTACCCACTTCAGTCTCAACTAGTGATAAGGTATTGCAGTTAGGACAACTTGGTAATTTGGAATTGGAGGGCCCCTGTTGATCCAGTCTCTGAGCTACAAACAGAAAAGGTGCATTGTTTGGATTTTTTCAGTCCGTGCTGCTTCATGTGGGCATGGTCTGTAACGTACACTGTGTTTCTGGTCTGGTTTCTGACTTTGGATCTCCTTGTCGCCACTGAGATTGGCTGTTGGAAGTCTCCTCAGCAAAGGTCAGACTTTTGGAAGAACAAACAAAAACTGCTTCCTGATTTCAGGTCTGCTAGTTCATCTCCACCTGTGTTAGCAGTCTTCAGTTGGCCAGTGGCAGCCATACGTTCTCTTTATCCTATCATATGAACCTCTTCTGAGATCTACAGGGAGTTACAGGCCCTGTGAATCCTGATTTGTTTAGCAGTGCTTTTCGTCCGCTGCTACACCTGGGCCTCAAGACTGGACCTCAGTTAAGAGGCTACCAGCCTGAATTGTAGTCCTGTGAAAATTATTATTTTCTCTATCTAAGACTGTCAGAGCTAATCAAGAATGGTAATTCCACAGTCAGGTGGGAGTTTTGTTTTTTCTTTTCCTTTTTTTTTTTTTTGAGACGGTGCAAGACTTTTATTTTTCTTACTAAACTTTATGGAAAACCAAGTTTGTGGTGCTTATTAATACGTTCTGCTTGCCTTCTTTTTAAAAGGATCCGCTAATTCCTTTATATATTTACATTTTCTAGGTCTGTGACTGGTTGTATCCTCTAATGTGTAACCAGTCTCCAGTTCTGTGCTGCAATACTGGAGTCTACATGTTCCCTGACACGATGTCCCAGATACCTGGGTCCTACGTGGGAGTAGTGCTGTCTTCAGAACTTCCAGCAGCTGACAGAGAGCTGTTTGAGGATCTCTTAAAACAGATGTCTGACCTTCGAATCCAGGTAAATTTCTGGGCTGCCTGTTCTAAGCCAATATGGAAAGGTAAATGGTCAATATATTCTCCCATTTGCAGTTAGTTGTGTAAAACTACAAAGTTCTGTGTCTTGCTTGGTAAACTCATCAGTGAGAAATAGATAAAGTAACCAAAATTAAGCAACCCAGTAATGAATCTGTACGCCCTGTGAGATTAGAGGACAGAAATTGTAAAATACTAAATTGTAAGCACAGAGAGGAATTACAGACCTTTTTGTATCTTTTTTCTACTTTTCCAAAAGGTAACATAGGATCCAAAATGAAATTTTGTGTTCAGGAGAAAGCAAATTTTTTCCTGTGTATGTGCACACACATGCGCACACTCTCTGTGTAGTTTTGATTATACGGTTCTTGGAATATTTTGCCCAAATATATTTACAGTTCAGAAATGTTAAGCCTTAAGCCGCTTCAGAGGAGACTTATGAAAAGAGTGTGTACCTCAAAAATCTGCCTTCAAATGGGATCTCAAAATAGATAAATCTAGCATTTTATTGCAGTAAGATGTTGACAGAGAAATTAGAAGAAAGCCGTAGTCTTAACAAAGGTGCAGTAAGATACAGTAACCAGAATCAGGGTGAAAAATGTTACTGTAAGAGCATTGGATCACTTTTCAGGAAAAATGGTAATCAATAACTATTTAAAATTTCATAGCAAGATTATATCTTTCCATGAAAGATAAAATGTTGTTGAATCACCAAGATTTGAATGCAGTGATGATGTGGGACCAGTTTGCAGCATGCCATGTGGGCAGAGTTCTGTTATGGTATAAATCCTGTTGAGTTCAGCAAGGAATTTCACTAGCACAGGAGGCCACTAAGTTTTACCTAAGTGGGAAAAGTACAACAGAATTATGTGATGCTTCAGTGCAGGAATTACTGGATAAAATTCTCTCATTGTTCCTGCATAGAAGTAATTCAAATCTGATACCCCATTGGTTCCTTGTCCTAAAATTCCATGTTTTTGTTAATGTTCCTTGATACGATGTCACAGGTGCCAGGATCCCATGAGAGAGTAGGGTTATCTTCAGAGCTCCCAGCAACTGAGAGAGCACATTTTGAAGATAAATTTAAACAGATGTCTGGCCACAAAGTCCAGGTAAATTCCAGGACAGTGATTCCAAAATTTAAAGTAAAAAAAATATTGTCACTGAAATACATGTTTGAACTGCTGAGATTCTGGACTCGATTGATAGCAGTGATGTGTGCTGTGCCCTCTGGTGGTCTTTGTTGTTGTTGTTTTTTGGTTGGTTGGTTTGTTTTGTTAAGAGCTAATTCAGCTATTGCAGGCTACAACATTTTGCAAATCGGCAGATTTCTGGACTTTGAAAAACTGTGATATAGCACAAATATTTCAAAGCCTAGTCTGATGGCCATTTCATGTGTCTGTTTTACACAGTACTCATGAGGATCTCTTTAACAGTTATATTTAATGTAACCACAGTATTGAGTCACCTGTCTTATTAGAAAGTCCATTTCTGCTCCTTAGTATAGTCCTTAGAAGTCTTGTTGCCCATTTTTCTACATAATGACCCAAACTGTGGTGTAACTAAATTATACCTGGAACAATGTTTAGTTGGTTGGTTTTTTGTTTGTTTTTCTAGCTATATCTATGTATTAAAGTTATTTCTCCTGCCCAGACCCCCAAAGTGTTTTGGTCACATGCTGAAGCCATTTCTTGAATATGAGATTTCACATTGCTGTCAAGCAGTAATTGGTGATACAGTATATGTCAGTGATACATTGTTAACCTTATAAGTCTTCATCTTCTCTTTTCTGTTAATGTTGGTTTTGTTTTGTTTCACTGTAACGGTCAACTTTGTGTAATACCCTGCTTTTATTTCCAGTAAATGTTTCAGGGGAATCTAAGAGTGTAATATCAAATATTATTCTATATTGTGTATTCTATTCAGCTTATAGGTTCCATCTGTGAATGCTTTCATTTAGACTCTTCTAAACTAAACAAAAAGGTTTTTTTCTTTCTAGCCATCATTAACGAGCAGCGTTTTCATTTTTTTTTTTTTTTACTTTTACATTGGAAGAGTCCTAAAAATAGAATCGTAGCAAAAACCTACAATGTATTATATAATAAATTTTTGCTTTCTGTAATTAAAGTTTAATTATACACTGTCTGTGAGCGGTGTAAAGTGATGCTGAACATTTTAGAAACACTAACCAGGCTGTAGTGGTGGTTGCTGTGTTTGAATGATTAACACCTACTCCAGAAAAATAGTGTCTGACATGAAGTCACACAGAACCTATCCACCCAACTTCAAATGTGGAGCAGTATCATGCACAGCTTGATGTGTTCCTTGGCTGTGCCAGTCTGCAAAAGCATCAACAGCACACAGAATGAATAATCTCCTTTATTTTTGAATTTGGGAGGAAAAGATGAGGAGCAAAACAACCGGAACAGCTGCATTCTTTTAGTGCAGCTGCATTCTCTGACCAAAGACTGCTGTTCTCATACTGAATAACAACAGAATTTATTTCCTTCTGAGAAGGCAAAAATGATAGGTGCACAAGTCTCTTATCTTTTTTGCTAGTTAACTTGTACTGTAAGTTTTCCCTACTTAGCTACTTGACCATATGGCCATATTGGCAAGCAAATCTTTTCATCATAATTGGGTGAAGAAAGTGTACAAAAAATGCTGAGCTGTCTGCTAAGCTTTTTTGAATGCATAGCATCTCTGTGCAAAAGTAACTGAGTCACAAATTTCCCTTGAGTTTCTGTACGCTTACCCAAGGAATACACGAGCGTTATTTGATAATGGACCTCTATGATCTAAACCAGAAATCCTGATGATGTATTGTGAAATAGATTATCAGGTATTTTCTTTCATTTGTTAGCCTTCAGAAGCCTCTAGTGATACAGCTAACTTGCCTCAGACTGTACGTATCCAACCACGACCCGAAGGAGCAGAAAATCAGAAAGAGTTGCCAGAATGGAGTGAGAAAGTTGCCCATGGAATCTTGTCAGGTACTGTTGTAATAAGAGGATTGTGTTGAATATAAACCTCTGTAAGTAACACCTGAAACAGTATTTTCACCTAGATACATGTGTACTGGTAGAAGATAAGTGGGCAGACATAGTTGTTCACCAGTTCCAGTTCAGATCATCTAAATGATACTTTGATGATCTTTATAAAAACAGTGCAGAATTTAAAATCAAGTCTTGCTCATTGCAAATGAGTTAAGCTCCTCATTTGACTGACTGTACGTTAGGATATCATCTCCTGTGACTCAAACCGCTGTGATAGAACAATTTTATTCCTGTATGAGCCATTATATTAACGCAGGCATCTATCGTGATTTCTGCAGATAAACATTCTTTTTATCTCTGAGAGCCTTTGGAATATACTAATGACCACCAGCTGACTGCAATACAGATGAATCTGCTAGGAGGTCTGCAGGGTTGGGTTGTATGTTTTCAGAACGTTAATAGTATTGAGATGTGCAGCTCTGTCACTTCTGACCCAGCTGGGGCTTGGATATCTATTAAAAAAGTGAGTATCTGCATTAAGCTGGCACTTGGATGAGGGCTGGCTGTATTAAACGTAAATAAAGTGAATTGAAAGAACGTGGGTGGTGTAGGATCAGAAATCACTGCAGAAATTCATGCTGGCCCATTCAGGGAAGAGTATAATTGCAGACTGTGTCATCAGGAATGTTTCTAAAGTCAGTGTTGTAGAGGCAGAGGAGGGAAAGCTGTAGGAATCATTGTAAAACTACATTCTAAGAAAAACAATTTTTGCCTTGAAGGTGCATCTTGGGTAAGCTGGGGCCTAGTAAAAGGAGCAGAATATACTGGTAAAGCTATCCACAAAGGAGCTGCTAAACTGCGAGAACACATTCAACCAGAAGAAAAACCTCTAGAAGTCAACCCAACTGTAGCAAAGGGACTTCATGTAGCAAAACAAGCTACCGGAGGAGCTGTGAAAGTCAGCCAGTTCTTAGGTAAAAATTTCCATCTCATAGTATATTATATTTTTGCCTTAAATATTCTGTAAAATGAGAGCTGGTTTCTCGAGTCAGTGAACTAGAGAAGGGACTGACCTGATGAAATCCAGAGATCAGTAGTTTGTGCCTGGTTACCTCCTGCAAGAGACACGCTTTAGGACTAATATTTATTATACAGCATTGAGGCATCTTCTTCTTTCCTAAAAGAATAGTCTGTGCATTCCTCAGTTTGGCTTGCTTTCCTAAGTTTTAGACAGTTAATTCAAAACGATGTATCCCTTTCTTCTGAAGTTGATAGCCATGTATTTTCAAAGCTGTACTGTCACTGGTTACTAAAATACTGTACTACTAGGGAGTGCCTATGTGTGAGTTTTTAAACACGCACACCTGAAACAAGTCTATTAGACTAGGTATAAACTTCCAGGTAGAAATGGCTTGGTGTTCAGAGGTGCTTGGTAACCCTAGCAGCTCTCACTAACTTCATTCTGGTATTTATTTGCATTAATGTTGATATTTAGTGTCTAGTGACTCATCCAAGTTTAAAAGCAAATTGTGCTGGATGTTGCAAAACTACTCTGAAGAGTTGAAATGTTTGTAAGAAAGACTTCTCCAGAAGCCAAGTCAGTAAAGAAACACAGCTTGTTCCATATCTGCAAGTTGGGTATAACAAAGTAGTGGAAACAAATTATTGAAATTTGAGTGTGAGATGTGTAGGTATTTCTTTTAAAGTGCTTTATAGCCATAAGAGCAACCTTACTTGTTTCATAGGAATTAGAGCTGTGCATAACCTAAAAACTAAGGTTGCTTCTGTATCTGTTGTATCCATGTAAGCGTGGATTAAAGTCTGTCTTTCAAATAAACATATTTAAATAGAAGCAGCACTTCAGACTTCAGTGAAGCTTACTTTTAATTAGGAGTAAGGACTTTTAAAGAAAGATGTTTTATGTTCTTACTAAATAATCTGCATACTGTTGTTTTCTGGTAGTTGAGGGAGTGTGTTCTATAGCCAGCTGTGTCGGAAAGGAGCTGGCTCCACATGTGAAGAAGCATGGCAGCAAATTAGTTCCAGAATCCTTTAAGAAAGATAAAGATGGCAAATCCACTTTTGATGGTGCACTGGTGGTAGCAGCAAGTGGAATTCAAGGTAATAAAAATTCCTTATACTTTTTTAATTGTATGCCTTTCAATACTATGAACTCAAATAAGCTGTTATTTTTTACAGGGTTTTCAACAGTGTGGCAAGGTTTAGAAAGTGCAGCGAAGTGCATTGCTAAAAGTGTTTCAACTGAGACTGTAAAAACTGTCAAATACAAGTAAGTTATGTCTTTATTTGTTTTATTATCTACAGCATATTGTCATTGTGTCTGAATACTGGCAAAAAAAAAAGCTTATGAAAGTGCAGGGAAGGTAACTGAAATACCTGCTTTGCTCTAATTATGCAGCACATAAGCTGCTAGGTGTACAGTAATGAGCATCTCCTGTAAGTAAAAATATTAAATGAGTAAATGATTGTGGTAAGTATTTTTTTAGCTCTCTTCTAAAAGTATTACAGCTTCAGGCTATGTTACAAATAACATTCAGATTTATATCTTTGATCTACAGTATAATGTCATTCTAAAAGAAGTTATTGGTTTAAGCCTCAGCTCTGATCCTGAATTTATGTAAACTTAGCTAAATTTAAGAAAAATGGAAGAACTTCATCTATCAGCAGGCCTAACTAAAGCGAGGAGGTACAAAAAAGAAAATTGTGTAATGAAATCTAAGGCATAAATAGCAATAATAGGATAGCCTCAACTTGCAAAATGCAGATGTTCTTGGAAAAAGCTAACGGGAAAAGAGGATAATAACATTTGGGATTAAGATGATGTTCCTAAGATGATGGAAAGACCAAAGTTGAGTACATGTACTGGAAGATGCCGCGGAGAATAACGGAACATATTGAAATAACTGCAAAATGTATGAAATGCATCCCTCAAAAAAAGTGCAGTAGTTATAATAGATAGTGAAGAGCAAGCAAAAGGATGTGGATTAAATGGAATTGATGGTAAGTGTAGCAAAAGAGATGTTACAAAGGATTGTTGAAAGTGCATACAGGCTACTAGCAGAAGGTAACAAGGTAAACATCAGCATGCAGTATTAAGTGGGTTGGCATTCCGGGTTGTGTTGTGATGCATTTCAAATAGGAGGCTGGGCAGTGAAGCTCTAGTCAGTGGTGCTTTATTGCTGATGTTTGATTTCAATAGGGATGTCAGAAGGTATTGTACTGGTACTCATTTCACATGAATTCACATGAATGTTTCTGGTTTAGGTATAAAAATAGGACATACAGAGATCAGCAGTCAACAGCCACTAAGAGTGAAAAACAATAAGTAATTAAATGTTACAGTTAATGACAATTGAAAATATTTGATATGTGATCTTTAAAATTTGTCTTTGTAAATGTATTAAAATTCTACATAATACCTCTTCTGGAAGCTAATTTTTGTTTCAGTGACAAAGATTACTGCCACTCAAAATATTCAGTGAATGAGTTAAAATCTACTTAATGGAAACAAAGCTAAAGGAGCATCATCACAGTGTCTCTAAATCAACAACCCAGTTAAAACTTAAATGTAGTACCTTTGTGGATAGAACTGTGAAGAGATACTCGTCATTTGTGCATGTTGATCAGAACTGTGGCAAAATGTAGTTTCAGAAGTAATATTTCTACCTAGGTACCATGCTACTACATGGGTGGTTTTTTACAACAATTTAAATAACTGCAGTATCTACATCTGCCCAACTTTTTTCTTAAAAAAAAAAAAAAAGTTGCAAATGGTGCAATTGGGACAGGCAAACTAAAAAATCATTTATCAAATATTAAGAAATTTTTAGTCTAACTGATAAGCTATAGTCTTGCTGTAAATGAGGCTACCTATTTTACTGATGTTATATAAAACTGGCTTATGATGTTCCTGAGGTGAAAATAACTAATCAAATTGACAAATACTGCACTTTTGCTGCGAGACTAATTCTGTGCTCTGCAAATCTGATGTTGGTGATTCCAGGCTGTTACTCTATCAGAGAATTAAAAACAAGCCAAAAAAAGCATTAATTCTTTTTATCCAGTTTCATTGTTGGTTCCAGCTATTATGTCGCAGCTGCTGTACTGATAACGTGATAGACTTTTTGATTCTTTGACATTCTGTGCTTCTCTCTGGCCTTATTTTAAGGTCCTCAGAGAATCTCTGGTCATAAGAAGCACAGGGAAAAGCTTACTCCTCTAATTGCTGGGATTCTGATGCTGCCAGAAGTACTTCCCTTTGGCCTGGTTTGTGTGATTTCAGTGCTCTCTGGGGAAATGTCTGGCTGCCTGCAACAGCTGGAGTCACTCCTGTCCTCCTTCAGTATGCTGTCTCTACTGGTGCAGATGTGTACCTTTCTGCACAGTTGAGTAATTAATGAGACTGCTGCCTTACACCCTAAAGCATAAGGAAGCTGGACCCACAACACAGTGGAGGGACCAGAGGTTTCCTCTCAGTAATTTTCATCATATCCTTAAAATAGCTTTCTTGAGCCTTCTGGGGTTTTCTATGACTTCTTTTCACCCGGTCCTTCCCCTTTGACACTGTATTGATTCCAGATTACTTCAGATGAGTTTTCACTGCGCAGTGGAATTTTTTTGTAGGGATCTTGCTGTGTCCAACATATGAGCACAGCTGTGTCAGCAACGCGCCGTACCCAGGAGTCCTGTTAGACTGTCTGGGTTAATCTGCTTGAGCACAGTGGTGCACTACCTCAGTGAGTCTACTTCTGGGACTTTGAGCTGTTTAATGTGTTAATGTTACACCAGACCTAGTAACGTATTAAGCCATGTAGACACAGGCAGAGGTGATACAGGACAAGTACTAAGCAAGCACTATTCTGGCAGTGGTGATACCAGCTCAGAAAAAACATGCCTGAGGTGATTCTGGTCCCTTTTTCTGTAACAGGTGAGAAGACAGGACAGTGTTTTCCCTTCTTCCTCCTCAGTGCTGCCACCCATAATACAGACTGAGAAGGTGTAGCAGCTGCAAGGGTCTAGCTGTGAGCATTTACATGGTAATATAGGGGGTATTTGGAATTTTACGTAAAAATTAGGTGAAAAAGTACTTGGGGGCTATTGCACACAACTTCCCCCACACTTATGGTTGTATAGATAAGCCTTCTATTCTTCAAAACTCGAGAGCAAGGAGGAAGAAAGACTGGAAGGCTTTTTTGAGGAAAAAGGGCAGAAGTATATTGATATCTTTAAAAGAGTAATCCATCTGATAGAGGAACAGCCCTTGCTCAAATGGTTTGGTAATTTCTAATTTTATTCTTTAGACATTCCGGCTGTGTGCTTATTATCTGTTCTTGGTAATGCTTAAATTTTTGCTTTCAAAAGAATTCCAGTGAAGATTAAAATATTAAGTATACAAATCTACAAAACTGCTTTCTTTCTTAAGGTATGGAGATGATGCTGGCCATGCTACAGACAACGCTGTGAATTCTGCAATCAATGTTGGTGTGACAGCATTCAACATTGACAATATTGGTATCAAAGCTGTTGTAAAGAGAACTGCAAAGGAAACCGGCCATGCTGTGTTAGATGAATATAAAGTACTGGATAGTGAGAAGGATAAAAAATTACAGCAATGAAGCATTTCTTAAAGCCTTACATCAGAGATGAAACTTCCTAATTAGAAGTAACTACATTGCTAATCTGCAATTTAACACAAATCACAGTATACTTTTCAAGCAACTGTTACTTAATTTGACATGAAAATGTAGAAATAGGGAGGGCATTTGTAGAAGGAAAAATGAAAGTTGTCTTAACTCCTTGTTGTGTATTGAACAAGGGTTTTAAACAACTGGATCAGGGATTTAGACAACTGGAAGGATATGAGTTTGCAGTTTAGAAACTTGCCTCTGTAAGCACTTTTTCAAAACATTATATGGAATAATACACTAATATAGAAATATACTATTGTGAATATTTTTGTAATACTTTGTAAAGAAGGTGGTGATACAGAATAAGTGGGATTACTAATTCTGGAACAAGTAGGATTACTAGTTTTGTTTTTTAACTATCCTTAAGACTTAGTTTTACTAAAACAGCCTTGTCTTATTTAATATGCACTATTAAAACAAGCTTTGTGTTTCCTTGTTTTGAAGAGAATTTCCCTTTTCAGCTACCAAACAGCTAATCTTATCCAGAGTTCATGTCAGAAGAAATGAAAGATGAACCTCAGATAACTAGGTAATTATTCCCTTCAAAACTTATTCTTTTTTTCCATCCAGCATATAAGCAAACCAAAGATAGCAAGGATTTCCTCTAAAAGAGGGTATTTACAAGTCTAGTCTCTAGTTGACTCCATAAGGAATACACAAAGATTCTTTGAAATTGAGATTCTTTTTATGTAGAGAGGATAAGTATGTTTTTGCATAAATTATTTTTCTGTGAAAAGATTCTGTAGAGGACACTAGGAACTTCTATGCATTCTGTATGTTTTAGCCAATCCAGAAAGATTCAGAGTATATATCATGGCCTCCTAATGGAAGACATAATATATTTGTTTCAACAAGTAGTTCCAACAGTCAGTATCTTTATTCCATTAAATTCATAGTTGCACAAGGTAGGTCTTTAAAGGGTATGAAGACAATCCCTTTTAATGAAGAGGTGTGTGTGGAATAGGATAGACACTACTGTGTAGGTCTTTCATCCTCTTCCTAGTGCAGTGTGAAATAACTCCGTATGTAGAACTCTTGAGATGCTTTTATACTGCTACTGCTTTAACTGTTCATGATTGAGTTTTAAAGCTGCTACACATTCTGATATTGGCTGGACCCGCCCCAACCAGAACACCATCAATTTACAACTTATCTCTGTTTCATGTAAAAGGAGAAAATAACTATAAATGGTTGTTAGCAAATGGTATTTGCATCAGACTGAAAAAATACAGTAACATCTAATGTCTGTTAAAATGGTAATAGATGCACATTTTGTGGTAGCTACTGTAGGTGTGTATTAGGGGGAGAAATGTGAAATAAAGGATCTAACCACTTGAGGTGTACCTTTGATTTATGGAAATAAAGATGAAATTAAAATTGATTAATCTGTGCTTGGCCTTTTTATGATGTGAAGCAACTGTATAGATCAGTGAGTGGAAAGACTAGGACGACTTCTGAAGTAATAAAAGAACCATATTGGAGTATGTGTACTAGAATCAAGCTCATCAGTTAGAACTTAAAATATTTCAAACTAAAAAGGTCCATCAAAAGTATACTACAACACTTTCTATTACTACAGTCTGTCACTTGCCAGCAAGTGTAACCCATTTAACGATACTAAAGACTTCACTAGCAAAAGCATTTTTGTTGTTATGAACTGCTTTTACAATAGGCATGTATGTATTTATATTTTTCTTCTCCCTCCCATTTTGGTTTTCCATATAGCTCATGCCCTTTAGTTTCATCTATAAACCATCAGAACAAGTAGTTATATTAGAACAACAGTTAAGATCAAAGTGTTGCAGTCTTCAGGAGTTCAAGTTCTAGCATACTGAGGAAAAAAATATTTAAATGCCATTAGTATTAGACAAGCACTGCTGTCCTGTTCAACCTGCTGCTGTTCTCTTCACATGTACTCAGTCTTTCAAATTTGTGTCAAAGTAGATTAAAGCTATTTTTTTAAAATAATCCCTACGCCCTTTTATGGTTTTCGGTGTGATACCTCCATGACCTTCCCCCTTTCACATTGTTCCATAGTTTAGTTACTTCTCACTGCTGAAAGTATTATGCTGTTGAACTTACCCTGCTTCAACTGTCACTACGTGGGCCTGGGGCAACAAATCCACAACAGCCTTTACACACTTACTGCCTTATCTCCGCCCTCCCTTTTGCACACTGTACACACCGAGATCCCTAAACCTCATATCTTAGATTTGTTTCATATTCCCAGCTTGGTTTGGTTTCTCCTTTGAATACTGAGCACCTTTTGATGTATGGCAGTCCCAGAAGCAGTCTTACTAATGCTGTTTATCGAGTGGACTGCTACCTGATTTCTTAATGCATTGTTATTTCTAAATTCATTTATTCAAAGTCTCCTACAATATTGGTCTCAAATACTACCTTCAGAAGACTACTTTTAGTGACCTCCAAGTCATTCTAAGCTACTGCTGTCTCAGGCATCTTCATCATCCTGTAGGTATAAATGACTGTTCTTGCCTCAAGTCTAAACCCCTGCATTTGAATGGATTCCTCTAGATTCCAAGGGTTACTTGGTTTGTTTTATGCTGATTTAAAAACACTTTGGGATAGCCTATTTCTTAATGTTCCCTGACAAACTAAAACTGTAATCCTTTAAAAAGATTCAGTAAAATTACCTTCCACTGAAACGTGCTGACTGGCCGTCATGGTTTAACGCCAGCCAGCAACTAAGCCCCACACAGCCGCTGACTCACTCTCCCCCTGGTGAGATGGGGGAGGGAATCAGAAGGGTAAAAGTAAGAAAACTTGTGGGTAGAGATAAGAACAGTTTAATAATTGAAATACTATAATAATATTGTAGTGCAAAGGAAAATAAATAATTTCCAAGAAAAACAAGTGATGCAAATGAAAAACAATTGCTCATTACCACTAGACCAGTTCCCGAGCAGCGGCCCCTAGCCAGCCCTCCCCCCAGTTTATATGCTGAGCACTGTGTCATACGGTGTGGCATATCCCTTGGGTCAGCTGGGGCCAGCTGTCCCGGCTGTGTCCTCTCCCAGCTTCCTCGCTGGTGAGGCAGCATGAGAAGCTGAAAGAATCCTTGCCTTAGCAGGAGTGCTGCTCAGCAACAACTAAAACGTCAGTGTGTTGTCAGCATGACTCTCATCCTAAATCCAAAACACAGCACTATACTAGCTACTAGGAAGAAAACTAACTCCCAGCTGAAAGCAGGGCTCCAGCTCGCCGTACAATGGTGTAGGTTGGAAGGGACCCCCCGAGGTCCCAGACTAGAGCGGTCTGTAATCCACCCTCCTCAGAGCAGGTCCACCTGGAGCACAGTACCCCACGCCACTTCTCCTCACATTTTCATTATCTGCAAGGATGGGGACTACAATCTCTCTGGGCAACCTTTGCCAAGTTTGACACTGACAGAGGTAAATATTTCTCCCTTATGCTGGGCCAAAATTTTTTATATGCACTCAGGTACATTGCTGTTTATTTTTCCATAGTGCATACTGGAGAAAAGTGTCTTCTCCGCCTTCTCTACACCCTCCTCTAACGTAGCTGTTGATCTCCTTATGCCTTCTCTTTTCCAGGCTGAAAATAGGCCACTTGTGCCAGCCCCTGACCTATGGCAGCCCTTAGGATTTGTCTGGGAGCCCACAGCTAAGCACTCGGGCGTGTGGTCCCTCAGGTGCTGAAGGGAGTGGAAGAACCAGCTCGCTCAACCTCCTGGCTATGCTCTTGCTAACACAGCCCAGGAGGCCCTTGGCCTTGTGTGCTGCAAGGTGCACTGTGGCTCGTGCTCAGCTTGCTCACCAGGCATCCCTGTGTCGTCTTCTAGGAAGCTGCACTGCAGTACCTTCCCCCAGCCCGTACTGATCCATGGGCTGTTCCCATGCGAAATGTTGGACTCGTTTGCTTTTTGCTGAATTTCATTAGGTTCATTTCAGCAGCCTGTAGGTTCGTTTCTTCAGGCTGTACACCCCACTCCAAATGGCAGCCCTGCCCTCCTGCGTAGTGACTGCTCCCCTCAATTCAGCAGCAGCAGCAGCAGCAAACTCACTGAGAGCGTGCTCAGTCTTCCAGGCTGTAATAAAGAATTAACGGTATTGGCTCAGGTATTGATCCCAGAGTCAGACAGTCATACTGCTCATCACCACACTTTAAGCCTGATGGCCCAGACAATTTTCCAGCTATTATTTCCCAGTTATCCAATCTATAACACACCATTTTGGCTATAAAGGTACTATGGGAGACTATATCAAAGTCCTTGGTAAAGTCAAGATACATAACATCCAGCAGTTTCCCCTTGTCCACACAGCCAGTCATCATTCCCTAGTTACTGGTGCTACAGAAATAACTACTTTGTAAAAATCAATTTATGCCATAATCCAAATGTTTGTCATCAGCAACTGGTCTACTTTGGTTTTAAGCAACTCTAGCTGTTTATTGACTTCACGTAATCCAAAGGCACGTATTTAAGTATAAAATTCCGTGTTGTGACCAAGTTTCCTAACTTTTCTTACTAATAATACTCATCTCAAAAATAACATTAAAAGCCTTAAAACAATTAAAGTACCTTTATAGGTATCTATATATCTGATTTTAACTGATTTACTGGGAATAAAGGAATGGAGGAAAAGTCTCACGTATTGCAAATGTCACTATATTCCTGCCATAATTGCTAAAGATAGTGAAGTTTTGAAGTTTTACACACTCACAGAAGGCCCTAGTCCACAAGACACTTTTGCTCTTCTCCCACTCCAGTTCCCAAACCACGTGGTGAAGCATGCAGTTACACTGGCTGTCGTGCGCCAGCCCAACCTGTGTGGTCTGGGTTCATCATTACGTGCACTGCAACCTAGTTCCTGAGAGCTTACCTAGTTTCCTTACCTAGTAATCCCTGAGTTGAGGCTGGGATCTGAAAGCATCCTGGAGAGGAGGTCAAAGAAAAGCCTCCTGGGGCAGAGAGAATACACCATGGCCGGGATACAGCCCACAGTTACCCAGTGGTCTCTGTTCTCAGACTTCCTTGTGATTCCAGGGATATTTCTGAGCTCTTTGAATATGCCCTCCAGTTGAGAACTAGTCAGTAGGCTGGTTAAATTAATCTTGAAGAAGTTCTTCACAAAAACTGATAACAAGAAAAATGGTGACAGTTTAATACCTTTGCTGTTAAGATTCAGGACACTGGATTAGTTATGAATGCTCGCCTAGGTCCAAGTCATCACGTAAATTACTGGTTTGGTATGGAACGTGTTTTCAATATGTATCTTAAAAAGGTAGTATTCAGTAAATCCTGAAGGCAAATGAGCAGCTAAATTTAAATGCAGTTACAGTGCAGCACTCTTCTAAATTTGTTTCTGGAATAAAGTATTTCAGATAATTTTTAATTCAATCCACAACTCAAGTGGTAATTCACTGATTAGATGATAGCATCAGTTATAACTCGAGACTGTAAAAAATCACCTTCTGGTCTAATATATATCAGACAAATGAAATTAAAATTACTTTTTCTTCTTACGATCAAGATTCTCAAGTCTCCATCCTAATGTTCTACCCCCAGACACTAGATCCTGCTGGATTAGTGACCCTGCTGTTGCAGTATCAGTAAGGTGTTAGACTGGTCCATTCCAGTGTCACACACTACCACCTTAGGACTAAAATTCACAACATTTCAGGACTGCCTTTTGGGTGGCAACGCTGATTTATGCGGTGTTAAAGTAATGGTAATATATAATCCTTGTTTTGAACTTCAAAAGCAGTGTCTCTGTTACCAACAAGCCGTAGGGCTATTGCATTTGACTTACTACTCATGCAGCAGAATCACTTGAACTGAGAAACTATACCCTTTGTTTTGCCATAGTATACCAGTAAAGCAAAATTACAGTTCATCTCCTTCCTGTGAAGGTGAACAGACAGTTCATCTAGTGAACCCTAGATCCCATGAATTGGTGAGCTGATCTAAGAGCGTATTAATCACTCCTAGTTTGTCCTTTGCGCCAACTCTGGTGCTTTTCTGAACAGCTGGCAAGCCATTTCAGCTCACTAACCAACAGAAATTGCAAACATGAAACATTTTTCCTGATACAAGTTTTCTAGGTTTCATGAGCTGTAACTGGATCATAGGAGTCACACGAATGTCAGAGCTGGCACTGAGGCAGCCGGAGAAGGCGACAGGGACAGCCTGACAGAGCTGATGCCTCTCTTGAAGCACTAAACTGTTAGATTAAATCAGTCTACCCCATAAAGCTTTACCTTGAGAAAGCCATGCACTGATCTGAAATTCCTTATTTGAAAAATGTAATTTCAAACATTTTTAAGCATGAATCCTGACCACTGTAAGATAATAAAAATATTAGCCAGTATATATTGCCTGATTCACTCCACTGACTTGATCAGTGATGATTAAGACCAATTATTCTAAGATCATCTGTCCCGTCTCAAGTTAGGTTCTTGCTAACTAGTTTACGCACAGCATAGGTTGATGTGCAGAAATAAGGACTTTACAACCAGTAAGGTTATAAAGTAGGTATGTATTCAGTGCTGGGTGCATGGGGGATCGCTCCTCCACAAGTGTGCACACTCATATGACCCAGGACTACTCCCTTTATGCCCCAAACCAATACATATTCATAAGACACTTATACATAGTCATACAATTTCCAACAACTTATTTCCATATGCCCCGCCTTCATCTCTTCTCTTTGCACCTGCGCAGTTCTTCCTGGTGGTCATGGGCCGGGGTCTCAAGGATGAAGTAAGGCTCCCTCTTCTTCATGAACTTTTCAACTTTATCTCTGGCGCATGCCCTCTGGGCCCCTGGCACCACGTTTCCCCAGCTACAACCTCGGCGGCAGCCCACTGGGCCCTTGTTGCCCATGCAACCCACAGAACCAGCCCCCCTCGGCAACTCCCACGTTATCAGATAAATGGCATGTCTTAACAAAAAATGGCCATGTTGTAACAAACAAAGGGCATGTTTTAACAAAATATCTTACCTAGCAAACGGCACGTCTCCACCCCCAGGTGCTAGTTCCTCTCCATCAAGATCACAATTATCAAGGGTGATAAAATACAGGTTAGGCACACAAAATGTTAAGACCAAGCCCTGTAGTGCCATGCCTGCCTTCACATGTGGGTCAAAGCATGTATTTAAAACCGTGCTACTTTCCACCCGAAAGAAGCGCTTAACAAAAAATCTGCGCCCATCTGCGTTTCCCAGGTCACGAGAAGCTTAGCACATGAACAGTTCACCCCACACGGTCTGTACTCTTTAATGGGCCAGAATTTTCCCCGTTGATTTCTGGCGCTGCCCAAGCCGCACGCTGGGGATTTCCCCGGACAGAGGGAAGAAAAGCCCCACCGGCCGCGGGGCGGTTGCCAGGCCCGGCGACAGCCGCCACAAGCGCGGGCAGGCCGGCGGGCGCGGCGCCCGCCTCGGCCGCGGGAGGTGGAGGCGATGCCGGCTGTAAGGCGGGAGTCCGGGCCCGGCCCTGCGCCCCGCCTCGCCGCCTTCCCCGGCCCACCCCGAGGGGTGACCGGGCCCCCCGACCGCCGCCCGCCTCTCAGCACACCGCGGGAGGGCGGGAGGGCCGCGCCGCTCCCTCAGGCCCCCGCCGGGCGCCCGTTACCCCGCGCAACGGCGGGCGACTCGCGGGCTGCGCGCCATGGCGGAAGGCGACGGCCAGCGGGCTGCAGACCCCGACCGCCTGGCGCTGGAGCTGGGGCGGGAGAGGAGGAAGAAGTGAGTGCCCGGCGGGAGAAGGGGCTGAGGCCGGGCGCCGCAGCGGGGAGCCGGCGCCAAAGGCTGCCCGGCCGCGGCGTCCTGCCGCCTCCCTGCGGCAAAATGGCGGCAGCCGCTTTGGGCGGGGGCCGCGGCTGAGGCGGCGGGCGGCGTGAGGGGCCGCGTGTGCCCGGCAGGTCCCGGAGCCCGGGCCGGGCTGGGGGCACGGTTGGGGCTGGCGAGGCGGCGTGGGGGGCGATAGGCACAGCTGGCCGAAGGGCTGGGACTGGCACCGGGAGCCTCGGGAAGTAGGGTAAATAATTTCAGCCAAAAATAGAGGCTGGTACTGGGCAGGCGGGGAAGGTAAGTCTGGGTGTCGTGGCTTGACTGCGTTAGGCAGCTAAAAGTTGCAGAGCCGCTCGCTCACCTCCATCCCAGTGGGGATGGGGGAGAGAATTGGAAGGTTAAAAGTGGGAAAATTTGTGGGTTGAGACACAGTTCAGTCAGCCTATATGGGAAAAAAAAAAAAAAAAAGGCAAAACAAAAAACACCCCAGAAACCTGAGAAAAACAAGTGATGCAAGAACATCCCAGTTATACCACCATCTGGCCAACCAAAGCAGCTCCAGCAAACTCCCTCCAGCCCCCCCGCCTCCCAGCACACACAGTTTTTATTGCTGAAGATGACATTACGAGGTATGGGATATCCCTTTGGTAAGTTGGGGTCAGCTGTCCCGCCTGTGTCTCCTCCCAACTCCTTGTGCACCCCGAGCCTGCTCGCTGGCAGGGCAGCATGAGAGGCAGAAAAGGCCTTTATGCTGCATTAAGCACTGCTCAGCAACAGCTGAAACACCAGTGTGTTATCAACTCTGTTTTCATTGCAAATCCAGAGCAGCACCGTATGACCTGTGAGGAAGATTAACTGTATCGAAGTGCAGTACACTGGGAGTAGAAGCCAACATGGTGTAAGAACAGAAAAGACCTTATGTGGATACATGCCTGTTCGGGGAAGAATGGTCAGCAAGGTGCTCTTTAAACACACTTCTTTCCACAATGTTGAATAAAACTGGAAAACTGGATTTCACTCTTTCCCCACTGTCAGGAAATAACTGAAACCTACAGGGAAGGTACGGTATCTCTCTAGTGCAGTTTGCAAAGATGAGGACTTGTTAGTGCTACCGGTTAGTCTCCTTGCTTTAGCAGCAAACATTTCAGTGCTCTGATGATTGTTGATGCTCATGCAGTAGTAGGATTCTAGTTTTTATTTTTTTTTCCCAGTTTACTTAGGAAGTTAGACATTTTTTCCCTATGTTAAAGAATATGATTGCCTTTTGAATGTTAATAAATTAAAAGTTAGAAAATGTCAGAAGGTCCTGTGCTTCCTTAAGTCAGACCCTTAATATTTACATTTCCATATTCTCAAACATTCTATTCCATACTGATTTTTCCCCTGGACAATGTGTCTTTCGATGTCTGGGCTTCAGATTGTGTTCAAACTAGTCCCGCAGTTGTAGACTTTATAAAATGTTTATTCACTAATGGAAAGGGGGAAGCCAGTATTAACAGAGTCAGAATGGTTAGGCAGCTCCTGTGTTCAAAATGGCACAAAAAGGAGCTTGGACATACTTGAACTAAGTATTACCAAGTCTCCTGAACAGTAGTGTACCAGTGTAATGTATCAATTATCCTCTGCATACACCAACTCTTTTACCTGGCACACAATCCTGATATTACAGGTATTCAGGTAAAAAGCAGAATGGTATTGGCTTTGTTTCATTGCTCATATTTTTATTTTATTTATTTATTTTTAAATAAATACGTAGATTCTTTGTGCACTTTAGGTTCTTGCTAGTATCCCTGAGAATCTTTTACAAGACTGAGCCCAAACCCAGTACACATTGTGAAGTGGTGACTCTTATTTGCCAATGAAAGGAAAATTTATATTTATTAAGAACCCTTATTTTGATGGCATGCCAGTAAAAGACTTGCAGCTCCAGGTGAATTCTGCACCTATTTCCTGTGTGTATCTTGTATGTACAAATAGACTATACCATTATTGCTGATTTCACAGAAGTTATTTATTTGGCCTAACTGTTAATGACTATGCTTGTTAGACATCTCCATCTAAGCCAGTGGCATATGTAGTTAATGAATACAGAAAGGCTCTTTGAAGGTGTGATTCATCTGACCTACTTTGGCTGGCTGTTTTAACATGAGATGACTCACACCCTAGGAGGTGCCTGTTTCTCTCCACTGGATATAAAGCAAGCTGAGGATGGCTGGTTTGCAGATAGATGCCTGCATTCCTTCACAGCCATCTCACCCTTGTCATTTTTTTACTGGCTTATTTGATTATTGTGCCATTTGGGCAGTTTGCTGGCAGCCCACCTACCACTCTTATTTAACACTCATGAAGAAGAGGTTTTTACTTCACAGAATAAATCGAATCATCCATGTCTGTAAGGGGTCTGTACCTAAGGCACCTGCTGATTCTCAGTGATTATGGATGTAGTACTGTGAAATCTTTTAAAGGATTTAATGAAAGTCAGCTTAACTATGACTCTGAATTACTGTAATCAAGATTCAGTACAGGTTTTGATTGGGAAATGTCATGGCAAATGTTTCTGAGAGAGAGAGAAGGCATATAATACTGGAGTATACTTCTTAATAGACAAAGAGGTCTTAAAGCCATATATTTATGCATGTCAGCTACTTGCAAATGTTGATGGAGTTTTGTGTTAATTCAGCTTGTGAGATTTCAGCTTCTGTGGCTTTCCTGGCAAGGAAAGCTGGGGCATTTTCCCAGCACACTGCTGACTGCAAGTGTCAAAAGTCTGTAGCTTTCACTACTGCACATGCTCTTCCCTGTGGTGCCTTTTGCACTGCGCAGTATTGTTTGTGCTTTGTTCATAGGTTCTGAAGGCATCTATATATTTTGTCTTCTACAGGAATCAGTAAAATCTGCCACGTTATAGAGGTGATGCCCTAGAACTGACGAATTGCCTAGTGCTTCTCCTGTAATGTTTCACTGGTTTCTCTCTCCACTATAGAAAATGACCTCAGGCAGCCTTTTACCTGATACGTGTACCAGATATCCAGATCTGGATAGCAAAACGTGCAGGGGAATGGCTTTCATCCTAAGTGGCTGTCACTTTCAGGTCCAATAACACCTGTACACTGTCTTTAAAAGTGTTGTGGTTTAACCCCAGCTGGCAACTAAGAACCACGCACCTGCTCACTTACTCCTCACCCCCCTGGTGGGATGGGAAAGAGAACTGAAAAAGTTAAACTTGTGGGTTGAGATAAGTATGGTTTGATAATTGAAATAAAATGTAATAATAATAATGAAAAATAATATAACAAAAAGAAAGAGAAATAAATCCCGAGAAAGACAAGTGATGCACAATGCAGTTGCTCACCACACGCTGACCAATGCCCAGGCAGCATCTGCCCCTCCTGGCCAGCTCCCACCAGTTTGTGTCAGCAGGACGTGCTGTCGTACGGAGTATCCCTTTAGTTGATTTGGGTCAGCTCTCCTGGCCATGTTCCCTCCCACCTTCTTGTGCACCTCCTTGCTGGCAGAGCACAGGAAACTGAAAAATCCTTAATTTAGGATACATACTACTTAACAACAACTCAACATCATTCTCATACTAAATCCAAAACATGGCACTGTACCAGCCACTAGGAAAAAAATTAACTCTGTCCCAGCCAAAACCAAAACAATATCCACCCCTTATTCTATACCATTTATGTCATGCCCAGAGTCCACACTTCCAGTACATCTCAGTTAATCACCACCACCTTTCCTGTCTCTTGATACATATACAAACACATACTAAGTCTGTGAGCCATCCATATAAAATGTCCGTTGAGTTCATTTAGTCCATGACTTTGGGTTTCATCTGTCATAACAGCCTTTCAGAGCAGGAAAGATGATGTGTGGCGGTGGATTGTTGCATGCTTAAGCCTGTTCTGGTTCCATCACTGCTGCACTTGTCCGGTTCTATCATCACTTCACTTTGCTTATTTCATTAAAGTTCATTCTTCACTAAGTTGGGTGATTTTACTGTAATACCCGTGATATGGCATGCAGCCACCATAGAAATGATGATATATGGTGTTATATAGCAATTAATATACAATTTAATTCATTGGCTATTCTCACCCAAAATCAAATTCCCTTGAAGTACACATTGGAATTCCCCATCCTCCTGCATCACCAAGTGCACCCAAGTCTCTGAGCAAAAGCAATCCCACGTATGGGTTTGCCTTTGCCTGAGGCAGCAATAACCCAGATCTAGCGTATTTTTTATGTGCACTGCAGGAACTTTGTCCCCTTCTACAGTACATCGAAGTTTTGATTGGGCAGATCCCCTGGTGTTGACTAACCACGTGGCTTTTGTTAAACATAGTCCACCCATTGCTCTCAGTGTAGTCTTTAGCATCTGTTGTGTTGTTCAATTTTCCTGGAGGCTGGTGCGTGATGGGGGATGTGACATACCCACTTCATGCTATGTTCTTGGGTCCAGGTGTCTATGAGGTTGTTTCTGAAATGAGGCCTGTTGTCTGACTCAATTCTTCCTGGGGTGCCACGTCACCATAAGCCTTGCTTTTCAAGCCCCAGGGTAGTGTTCTGGCACAGGATGTTTCCAGCCATCGGTGGTTTCTTCCACCATTGTGAGCACATGGTGCTTGCCTTGCCTGCCAAGGCATTCTTAGCAATTTATTTAATTTGTCATTTCAGTCACAGCCTTCTTATCTGAACTGCTCTTTTTTCTTTTCTTCATGAGAGGTTTCATGTTAAGCTTAGTATGCAAGGATGTAGTTAAGTTCTCCTGATGACTTAAATGTGAGCTTCCAGGATTTGTGGGCTTTCTTGGGTGATGACTATAAATTGTCCATTGACATGGCAAAGATTCAGAGGCCGTGAATATGTCTAATTATGTTTAACACATGTGAGGTTGCAGCTTAACTCATGCCACAGTCCCTCTAAGCACAGACCAAGTCTCTGAGCAGGCACCTATACACAGCTGCATTAAATTCACAGCAACAGATACGTGGCATGACCATCACTTCCTATCGCAATTAGAAATAACTCCAGAAATGCAAAATACTTTGATACATTAAAAAGCTGAAGTATTTAGCAAGTTGGTCAAAGTGATTTATTTCTACATCCCTGCTCTGTCAGGACAGGGACTGAAATTTACTGCATATACCCTGACTGAAATAGAGATGTGGCACCCTTGGCTACTTTCTCGGTGCTACTGGAGCGTTAAAAGTTTAATAAAAATTAGATTTTTTTAAAAACTGATTTCAGTTGCCAAATGAAAATAAGACTTTCTATTACAGTAGCAGTTACAGTCTGACACCAGTCAATTTATCATTTCAGTACACATTTTCATCAGGACAAAATATAGTTTGAAGTTGGCTGGCAGTTTTGCTAATGGTGCAGAAAGAATAATAAAATATAATGTAAGAAATGGTGTATATAGTCTTGGAATGGTAACAAATTAAAAACTGGAAACACTGGATTTAAAGAACTCATTCTTCCTGTGTTATCCCTCTGAATCCATCTAAGCACGTAGTTAGTATTTCTTTGAAAAGGAAACCAATTTCATTTTGATACAGCTCAGCTCTAATTACACCTTTGACTGTGTCTAATTTGCAGTTACTTCCTTCAGAAACCCCTATTTTAGCACTCACTGTCGTCATAATTTTCTTTTCCAAGCACTGAGAGGTTGATAGAACTCTACAGAAACCTTATCTATTTGTATTGGAATGATACCAGCAATGTAGTAAGATTTTGTCTTCTTCCTAGCCATCTGCCTTTTTCATTTGGAGTGGGAGCAAACAGGCAGCAGCATTCAGCTTTCCTTTGCTGCATCTGAGCTTTTTGACTTATGTGTTTCATGTCTATCTTTTGCTGGGGCTTTTACCACACCCTTTCTGACACCAGCAAGTTACCAGTACTTTAATTCTTTCTTTGCCGATGTCCCCGCTCTCTAATTTAACATCGGTAGGGACAAAACCAGCAGTGGAGCAAGGAGGGATTGGAAGACCCAGCTCTCCCCTGCCGTTCAATATATCTGTCTTACTGTGCTCCAGTGTGTTTCTCGCACTGAAAACTTACTTGAATTACCTTAGATTACTCTTCCTCACATTTCTTTGCTATTTCATCTCTTCAGCTCTCCTTATTCCAGGCATGCCTCTTCTGTTTCTTAGGATCGGTTGGTTTGCTTCTGCTTCTGCAGCTTTCAGTTGAAATCTGATGTTTCAAGCTATGAAAAAAAAATATCACCAACTGAATGTGAGCATCAGGAGTGTAACAGGTGATACCATTTCTCAGTAATCACTCTATCATCAGAGCTTTAATTTCTTCTAGGCTAAATATTTCTTGAAGAACATTTCTCATTACGAAAATGTTCAGAAAAGATCCATGCTGACGTGGAAGATCCCCTTTAAAAAAACAAAACAAAACAAAACACCAAAAAATAGGACAGCACAGTGATTTTCTCTCTTGCATGTTTTAATGAACTAGGCTGAGTTTTAAGGACATCTGTTGTCATATTGATATTGCAAAGTATTTTCCAAAGGGCCTTATTTGCAGAGTTAAATTTTCAGTTCTTTTTAAATATCTCGATTTGGGCACTGAAAAATGGAGGCAGCCAAGAACCATTGTTTTTTTCTTTTTTGAAATATTGACCTTCCAAACTTAACTTTAAAGGACAAAACAACAAATTGCTCTTCCATTGTGTTGTGCTGTGTTTTGCTGGTGTGGGCTGACTTCCTGAGATCTCACAGGCAGGAGTATTTCTCCGTAGACATCTCCAAAAAGAACCAAGCCTTTGGCATAAATATGGTCAATAATTTAGTTAGGGGTAATTTCTTCTTGGCGTGATGGAGATCATATGATTCATTGTAGCACACTAGACTACCATCTTGCCACTTACAAGGATGAGTTATTCAGCATGCTGCCTGATGCATGCAGGTGGGCTGTGCTTTCAGCAAAGTCCTTGACTAGCTTCTGCTTCTGGTCAAACCTCCCAAGACAGAAAGAGCCAAGTTTCCATGGTACTTGTCAGCTGTCTGGCTGCCTGACCAGTATACAGAAGTAATCAGTGGGCAAAAAGTTATTTTCCCACAAGGTTAAGTTTAAGGTACTGAAAAAAAATGGTGGCTTTAGCACCTGTATTTTTTTTTAATTTTTTTTTTTGTAACACTCATCTTACTTTAATCACTGGCTTCCTTTTCTGATAGTCGTAATACATGGTATGTTTTGGCTGGTTTTGTTATGGGTACAATTTACAAAATGACTATTAATCATTGAGCAGTGAGTCAAAATAAAGAATTAATTCAGAATTTCAAATAGTATATCTCTCGGGCATATTCTTGTTTCAAAAAACATATTCTTTGGACATCTTTTTTTAGGTTAAAAATTAAGGCCATTGTCTTCTCTACATGTGTTTAATTCTGATGATCTGCTAGACAGTTATTAAATTTTAGGAAATGTTTGTCATGTGCTTTTATGGAAGTAATTTTATTCACAAAGTAGAAATGCTTCTATTGTTTTTAAGGCACTGTAGCATCCATAAAGAAAAATACATTAAAAAAACATGGGCAAGATGCTGTAATTACATAGGAAAGACCAGTAGATATTTCATCTGAACATAAATTAGATTTATTCTTTTTAATTTTCATAATAGGATTAATGCAATAGACAATTTATTGACTTCTCTAAATACCACAGGCAAATGCTTGAAAACTCAATATTCGAACTGAGAAACACAGTAACAGAACTGGAAAAAAGACTCAGTAGTATTGAAGATGAAGGTAAGTGAATTACAACAGTCTTGCTAATTGAATAGGAAACACAGAAAATTAATTATTTTGGGTAGGCCCTACAGACATAAAAATTTTTATTTAGAAATTTAAGTTTGCCCTTTTCAAACATCACTATTATAGACATGATGTTGCAAATGTAAAATTAAGTAGTGCTACATGCTTCCATGTTAGTTTTTTTTGTTAATTATTAATGAAACTATGAATAACATGAATTCAGAGAGCTGGTTAATATTTTGGCCACAGTAAGCCCAATGAAAAGTTTCCTTGATTTATATTTTCAAACTCTTTTGTATGCAGAGGTCCTCATTATGAAGATTACTAACTGGAGACTTTATCAGTCTCCAGAAAAAAGTGGGAACAGTTTGAAAAAATGCTAGCTTTTACTTGAAATGTCATGAAATAATCTGGGAAATAGAATAACCGTGTATTTGATTTTAGGTAATGAATGGAAAACCAGATACGAGACACAAGTAGAATTGAACAAACAGCTGGAAAGGCAAATTCGTATTCTTCAAGACAAGATGGAGCTTATTCGTGGAAATCCAGCAGGTAGAAATGGGTATTCATAACTGGTTTTCAATAGAATTAGTGATTATATGTTGAAATTATATCAATGGGTCAAATTTTCTGCTTATTTGTAGATAAATTTTCCATTGTTCACACCTTTGATCAAATGTCTGTGGTGAGTACTATGGCATATAGTTGGTTAACAATAAATCCCAGTGTAATTGAAGAACTTGTATAATCTTTGTTTTTTCATGACAAAAAATAGCAGCAGCCTGGTCTAGAAACCAAAACAATCAGTCCTGCTTGCTTTTTTATTGTTTCAGCTATGCAGTTGCTTATAAATTTATAAAGTATATCGTAAAATCAAGTAGGTGGTACATAAGAGCTGAATGTTGGGAAGAATCATGTAGCGAAATTTTTAACTGAGAGAAGGTTGTGTGATTGAACCTGCAGTAAGGCATACAAGATGGAGTCGCTGGACAAGTTCTATGAAAAAATGGAAAAATGATAAACCTTCATTACAAAATCATGGGATCACTTAGTGTTTGACCACTCTCACAGTAAAAAAAAGTGCTTTCCTGTGATCAGATTGAATTTCACATGTTGCAGTTTGTGCCCATTGCCTGTTGTCCTGTCACTGGGCACCACTGAGAAGAGCATGGCTCCCTCTTCTTCCTCCCTCCCATCACATATTTATATGCATTGATGAGGTCCCCCTGGGCCTTCTCTTCTCTAGGCTGAACAGCCCAAGCTTTCTCAGCCTCTCCTCATCTGTCACACGCTCCAGTCCCTGAGTCATCTTCATAGCCCTGTGCTGGACCGGCTCCAGGAAGACCGTGTCTTTCTTGTACTGGAGAGTCCAGAACTAGACCCAGCACTTTGGATGTGTCTCACCAGTGCTAAGGAGAAGGGACGGATCGCCTCCCTTGACCTGCTGTCAACATTCTTCCTAAGGGAGCCCAGGTGGCCATTGCCCTTCTTTGCAGCAAGAGTGCACTGCTGGCTTGTGATCATCTTGTCCACCAGGACCCCAAGGTCATTCTCTGCCAAGCTGCTTCCCAGCCAGTCAGCCCTCAGTGTATACGGGTGCCTGGGGTTATTTATGCCCAGGGGCAGGATTTTGCATTTCTTCCTGTTGAACAGAACTTCATGTGATTCCTTTCTTGCCTATTTTATCATCCTATTGAGGCCCTTCTGAATGACAGCACAATCCTCTGGTGTATCAATTGCTACTCCCAGTATCAGCTGTGATAACGCAGATTAATAGTTGCAGTAACATTTTGCATATTATGTTTACAGGAAAATTCCTTATTGTACAGTAAATTTTTGCAACACTGAAAGAAGTATCTGTTTTCATTTTTTAAATTTTATCCCTTAATATGCTCATATTTCATGACCTGTATTTCAACAAAGCGTATAACATATTTCTGCAATCTTGAGGAGAAAATGGTAAGAAAAAACAGCAAATACTTTGGCCATTTAGTCTTCTAAAGTGGTAAATGAAGTGAAAACAATTTTAAATTCAGGACTGCTTTTTCCTTAGACTATCATTTGCTGAAATCTTTTACTTTGACACCTCTTCTGCTTCCCACCCACTTTTAGAAATAAGGAAGGTAGAAAAAGATGTGATAATGCCTTGTAACATAAGCAGGAATAATGAACATTATGAGGCAGGGCTCTGATGATTTTTATTTGAGTTGCTTATGCTTACAGAAGTGTTTCCTTCTGACTTTTTTGTGCTTCAGATTCTGAAGATTAATGGGAGTTTACTGAGCCCAGAGAAGGCTGCATGCCCTATTAGCGTGAATGATTATCTGCTTTAAGCAGGGTGTGAATATTTAACTACTCTTTCTGATCTGATCCATGGCTTTTGGATAGTAAACATTCTTGCCAGTTTTAGTACTGTCGTAAAGATCATAGTGTTTTCTAGGTTGGCAGGATATTTTTTTTTTAAACAGCTAATTAAAAATCTTTCCTATCCCACTTTCCTGTTTCACAGAGCTGATTTGAACATACAACTGGGATTGTTTGAAGAAAATTCTTGAAGACAGAACACTGATCTAGAAAATTTACAGTAGAGTCTGCTTCAGACAATGTTATTCCTGTCAGCCTGTAAAGCACAGACTGGCATGTGCGCTTATGCTCTCAGAAGAGTTTATTTCTGTCCAGTTAATAGTACTATCTTAACCAATCCAATTACACCTTGCCCAGCACTTGAAGAGTCATTATCAGTGAGATAATCTGCTTTACCAGCAGCTGGACTGCCCCAATCCAGTTTTTCTAATCCTTGCTAAATACTGCCTTGTCTCTTCACCTGTGAGCTATGGTTTTGAGAGGTTTGATTACTGTTCCCATAAAGGAAAGAATGTTAGCATAACTGAAAGATTCATACTGCCAGAAGGAGTCTAGAAAACAGTTTGTAGAGTCCTAGATTTACTCAGTGACACCTGGAGCCCATGTACCATGCCGTAGGTTTTTCTTCTGCACTTTTAAGTCCTTCCTTCAGCCTCACAGTTTAAAGTAAATACATTCCTTTATTTGCTAGCCAGAGGGGAGATCAAAAGTGCCTAGGGATTTAGTGAAATGTTTCATTTTTCCTTGTTTTGATTTCTGAGAGAAGGAAAGAGTGGAAGAAAGTAGATCTATATTGTGGGCTTGCTGTTCTTTTTTTTTTTTTCACTGAAGCTATCAGAAGAGTCAGTGTATATTTACAGATACTCTTGGAGAATGCAGAGCCGTTCTTTTTTATTTTAAATTTCAGGAGATAAAACATTGGGAAAAAAAAATACACAGAACATTTAGTTGTGTTTAAGTATATAGGTTTATCCAAATCCTTTTTATGTTTTTGAGAGTTGTTCAGGGGAGTAGGGGGAAATATTTAGCTTCTCCACAAATGAGAATAAAGAGCAGATGTGGTGAGTGGGTATAGAAAAGCAAAGAGCTTTGCAGCCAGTCATCAATCTACATTTGCTCGAAGTAAAAATGCTGAGAGTAGATATATATAAAATCATGTGTGTGTGTGTTAAATCAAAAGTACACTATGGTATTCAGCTTTCAGCTTGCAGTTGCATATGAAATTCTGGGGAAAAATAGAAAAGTGATTCTTCCAGCAAGATGATACAATTTCTACAATATGACAACAGTAGACAGTAGATTTTGTTTTGATCAATGTATTTAGAAAACTAAATAGTATTTGAAAGTCTTTTTAACCTATGTTCCCAAGTAAGTCAGAATTATGCAGTTAGAATTATTAGAAGGACCTCTAATAATTTTTAACTTCCTAAGGATTTTCAGTTGTATTTAACAGAGGAGATATATCAAAGATACTGAAGAGATTCATCTCACTCTGCTAGTCATTTAAGGTCCTACCATAGTTAAGAGAAGGAAAAAAACATGTCCATAGAGCAATTCATCCCATTTAGAGATAGGTAGCATAAAATATTTTCTCGATATCAAGTACTACAGGGAAAATGAAGATTAGTCATCAGGGACCCTGGCAGTCAGCAAGCTATAAAAACCTGAATGAAAGAGAAGAATACAAATGCAAATCCTGGAGTGAGGAACAAGGAAGCACAGTGGATTTTCTATGTTGATAAATTGCAATAATTGTTGCAGATGGCCTGCACTATTTTTGCTTTAGAATTAGAATTGTACTGATGAATGATTTCTTGCTATTAAAAACAACCCAAAATGATTTAAATATACAATTATCGTTCTGAAGCTCTTATACGAACGTGAGATAATCCTTTTTTTTGTTTAAAAAAGAATCACATAGGTGTCACATGACAGTAAATGTAGAACCAATACCTTGAACACCCAAATTTTTAGAGTCAGGGTTTAGAAAATAATTTTTTGTATTGAGGGCTCATTAAAAACCTAAACAGTGACAAGCACAAGGGAGTTCCAATAGTGAAAACTGTTTAGTCAGTAATTTCCTTTATGTCCCAATGAATAATACAAATGTCATATAGTACTTCAGAAATAATTACAGAAGTAATGCCTTCTCACTAAAGTATTACATATTGCGAATTTTACTTGCCTCTCTTAAACATGCTGCATTCATTTATTCTCATTTTTTTCCTTAAATGAGTTTTGGTAAAATACATGCTCTCTGTTAAGTGTAATTTCCCATATAAGCGGAAAGAAAATTATTCCTTTCTCTCTCACCATTTCTGCAATAAAGAATCCCTAGATAGCGGCTTTAGTATGCAAATACTGAAAAGCATACTGCAAACTCAGTTCAGAGGAGCATACTCCTGATATCATTGCCTTAGCAACGCTCTAGTTAAGATTAGCCAAGGAACCAAGGTTTCTGTGATAAATCACCATTTTTCAGGAATGTCCAGCACCATAGCTGAGAAAATTCTGACATTAAGGGCCAGATACTTGCTTTTGCAAAGCTGCCCTTCTGAGAGCACAGTGACCACAGAACTAAGACCCTCACACAGCCACCTCAGGGTTTTTGCTTTCAGTGTTAAACTGTAAACGGAATGTGTGGCAGTGTCACACTGGAGAAGGCGTTGGCAGCATAACAAGAGGAGAATCTTGGGTTTATGAAAACACCCAATGAAGACTTTGTATTTCAGTAGGTGTTGATAACTGCCTATAGGGAACATCAGCACTTTATAATGGCTTGGGAAATGTTGACAGTTCTCCTAGCAAGTCACTGTTAAATGAACCTTGTTGCTCTTGCTGGATTAAGTCACTAGTAGCTCTATGGGGTGAAGAAATCTGGTATCCTATCTTTTCATAAAGCTTGGAAGTATTTTGGAGAAAGTTCTGTAGTCTAGTCTGACTGCCCTACACTGTATCCTGCCTCCTCACAGACTTCCCCTTCCTACTCCTTTCATCTGACCTCAGACGAGTATTTTGGATGCCTCCAAGAGAGCTTTTTGATTTGCATTTTTTCCTTTCCTTGTCCTGTTGGCGTTAGTTGTTCCTCCTGGTGGCCTTGCATAAACCAGCAGACTATTTTATTCAAATCACTTTGAGGTATTCCCAGAGGCAGATTACACTTTGTATTTAAAAGAAAACAATCAGGGAAAAATCTTGCAGTCAAATGACATTGTTAGCTCACTGTTCTCAAGAATTCCATAGCAATTGACTGGGACACTGAGATATCTTCCAGAGAAAATGTATAAGGAAGCAATCTCCAGCCTTTTTCAGGCCTACCAG